AGATAGATAGATAGATAGATAGATAGATAGATAGATAGATAGATAGACAGATAGAGGAAACAGGGTGAGTTGAAAATGAAGGGGTGATATCTAGAGAATAAAATTAAGGAGTGAGATGGGATTATATTGGGAGAAGGAGAAAGGGAGAGGTAGAATGGGGTAAATTATCTCACATAAAACAGACAAGAAAAGGCTTTTACAGTGGAGAGGAAATGGGGGAAGGTGAAAGGGAATGAGTGAATCTTATTCTCATAGGATTTGGCTTGAGGAGGGAATAACATACACACTCTATTGGGTATGGAAATCTATCTTACCCTACAGGAAAATGGGGGGGAAGGGGACAAGAGAATAGAAGGATGATAGAAGGGAGGACAGATTGGGGGAGGGGGTAATAAGAAACAAACACTTTTGAGGAGGGACAGGGTCAAAAGAAAGAATAGAATAAATGGAGGGTGGGATAGGATGAAGGGAAATATACTTAGTTTTTCACAATGTGACTACTATGGAACTGTTTTGCATCACTACACATGTATAACCTGTATTGAGTTGCTTGCCTTTTCAATGAGGGTGGGGGGGAGGGACAAAGGGAGAAAATTTGGAACCCAAAGTTTTAAAAACACATGCAACTGGGAAATAAGAAATACAGGAAATGGGGTATAGAAATCTATCCTGCCCTACAGGAAAATAGAAAGGGAAGGGGATAAGGGAAGGAGGGGATAGATAGAAAGGAGGGCAGATTACTGAAAGGGGTGTACAGAATGCATACCATCTTGGAGTGGAGGGAGGGATGAGATGGGGAGAAAATTTGGAACTCAAAATCTTGTGGAAGTTGATTGAAAGTTTTAGTTGAAAAGTTTTTGGAAGTTTTAGTTGAAAACTAAAAATAAATTAAAAAAGAAGTTTTTTTTCCAAAAGTTTTTGGAAAAAAGTTTTTTGGAAGTTTTAGTTGAAAACTAAAAATAAATTAAAAAATAAAATCCTTTTTGAGCTCTTCCATGGTCTGAGACTAATTCATATTTTTTTCTTGGAGGCTGTGGATGTAGAAATTTTGACTTTGTTGTCTTCTGAGTGTATGTTTGGCCTTCCTTGTCACCACAGTAACTTTCTATGGTCAGAATTTTTTCTGTTGCTTGCTCATTTTCTTCAGCCTATTTCTTGACTTTTAACTCTTTGCTAATGTGGTGCTCTGCTTCCAGAGCAGGGGACATACCATCCCAAACTTCAGGAGTTTTATGCAACTGTTTTCAGAGATACTTCTAGGGACCTGTAAGTTTTCAGTTTTTCCAAGATGATATGATCTAAAGAGAAGTGTGTTTACTACTCTCCTGGCCTGTGCTCTGGTCTGCAAGTGGTCACAAACACTTTTTTTTCTGCCCCGGAACTGCGAGGAGGGTTCCCAATCCACTGAGGCTGCAATCTCTGGTGTGCTCCTCACCCTGGGACTGCCACCAAGGACTGCAATCTGGATCTGAGTATGAGCAAAGCAACAGCATCCTGCACCTGTACTGGTGCTAGTAAAGAGATCCCTTTAACTTCCTTCTGACCAGTTGTTTGACCCCCTTACTGTGTGTGGGCTGAGAGCTCTGAAAGCAGACACTGCAGCTTCTGATTCATTCACTCCCAAGGCCTGCTCCTGGTTTACTGGGGCCAGGTCTGTGCTGGTGTGCCTTGCACTGGACTGTGGTTATGTCAAAGGAGGAGCCAAAATTCTAAATTGTCTGCAATTCAGATAAAATCCATAGCTATGAGCTCAGATTCTTCATAATGATGTTTAAATCACTAAAAAAGCACTTTTCCAGTTTCCTCTGTGATGCAAGTTTCTTTAAATCTTTCTTAATAGAAAGTGAAACATATCTGTTACCAAAAGATTTTTTTA